AGCAACTAAGATGATCCAAGGCCTGGAGACTAAAACGTACGAAGAATGGCTGCGGGACATAGGTTTGGCTAGTCTAAAGAAAAGAAGAAATAGGGGAGACATGATAACAGTGTTCCAGTATCTGAGGGGCTGCCAGAAAGAAGAGGGGGTCAGGTTGTTCACCAAAGCACCAGAGGGAAGGACGAGAAACAATGGTTGGAAACTGATCAAAGAGAGAAGCAACCTGGAACTTAGGAGAAACTTCCTGACAGTGAGGACAATCAACCAGTGGAACAACCTGCCTCCAGAAATCGTGGGCGCTCCATCACTGGAGATTTTTAAGAGGAGACTGGAAATTCACCTGTCTGAGACAGTGTAGGTTCTCCTGCTTGAGCAGGGGGCTGGACTAGAAGACCTCCAAGGTCCCTTCCAGCTCTATTCTATTCTATTCTATTCTATTCTATTCTATTCTATTCTATTCTATTCTATTCTATTCTATAGCACATTACACTGATGTAGAGAGGCATTGCATGAATGCTCTCCAGAGGTTGTGATTGCTCCAATATTGTAGGTTTTTAAGAAAAGACTGGACAGCCACTTGTCTTGAAATGGTACAGGGTTTCCTGCTTGAGTGGGGCAGGGGGGTTGGACTAGTCCCTTCCAATTCTGTTATTATGTTATCCTGTTATCCTCATACCACGTTCTTGGTTGGAATATTATGGCCCTTTCAAGTTTTGTTGTTTTTTTTAAGGCAGGAGAGTCCTGATGAGTAGGAATATCCTGCTGTTAAGAATAGCCATTCAGTGGGACGATCCATCTAAAACTGTAGGAATTTGATGACTACCTATCAAGGGTGGCTTATGGGATTCTTGGGCTGAGTTGGGGATCGACTTAATGACAAAAATCATACATTCTGTGACTGCCATATATGTATCGCCTTGTGGTCTCCCATTCAAACGTTGCCCAGAACAACTCCTGAAATTATAATTTGGAAACACTCTCAAAGCATAGCTCAGAGCTTTTAAACATTGATACAAACCAGGTCCATCCGATCACACATCTACCAGTTGGCAAGGATTCACCTGTCCAATTTATGTATTTTTATCTATCTATCTATCTATCTATCTATCTATCTATCTATCTATCTATCTATCTATCTATCTATCTATCTATCTATCTATCTATCTTTCTATCTATCTATCTATCTATCTATCTATCTATCTATTTATCTATCTATCTATCTATCTTTCTTTCTCTTTCTTTCTTTCTTTTTATCTATCTACCTACTTACTTACTTACTTAATTACTTATTTATTTATCAAATTGATAAGTCGCCCATCTCCAATTTATTTATTTGTTTGTTTGTTTGTTTATTAATCAATCAATCAAATTGATAAGTCATCCATCTCGCTATTCAAAGTCTTCCCTACTGCTGCAACTAGAAAAGCAAGGGACATTAGCAGAGCCCCTGCAGAAATGCAGAAGTGAATTTGATCACAACTCTTACTGAGGAGATTAAAAATTCACCACCCCAATCAATTATTCAAAGGATAGAGCTCGGCTTAGCTTAGGTGCCCGAGAAGCTCTATAAAAATAGATCAAGGGGTTGTTTCCTGCTAAGCGTGAGCAAAGCGATTATATCAAGGCTTCCAAATACATATCTTGGCATATCCGGGGGTGCCGAAGCAAGCAGAAATGATGAAATAAGCCAGGAGAAACACAGCGGTCTGTGATTATCTGATCAACTATCCGTTGAACCAAGGTTCCCTGCACTGAAATCTCTCACGTCTGACTGGCCTCCACTGAACTGCATCGTCTTGGTACATACACACTCATCCAGAAGGAAAGGGAGGATTTGGGCTTCATCCAGGATTCCTGATCTGATTTTGTTTTTTTGTTTTTTTAAAGGAGACAAGATTACATTTGCTCTTACTGAAAAGAATATCATGCTTGAAGCCTTGTCAAGGACTAGAATTTACCTTCTCTTTGTGATTGGTCCAAACTCATTGGTGGTTTTCATGACTAAGGCGGGACTAGAACTTACTGTCAACTTCTGAAACGAACCTGGGTGAAGCCATCTTTGTCGTTCTAAGTTGCCACAGGTTGGGGGTAAGGGTGAAAGAAAAGGACAGCATTGCTAGACTAAACACAGAGCAGTCCCATGGGAACCAAGGTCATTCCCACAGGAGCTGGAAGGTGGAGAGAAGAAGTTTCACGGAGCCCGTCAATTGCTTTTATTGGCTAGCCTGATCAATAGCATAGCAGAGGGGAGGGAACTGTTACATTTAGTTACACTGAATCCCTAAGGAGAATTTTAGCATTGGTTTCACTTTTGACTCTGCCAATATTATGTATCCAATAAACATGTTCTTTGAGGAAACTTCAAGGCTCGGAGTTCTGATTTATTTGGTTTCATTAGTTGGAACCTTGGCCCTTACCATATCCTGGTGATTGGTCCAAAGTCGCCCAGCCAGCTTTACTGCCTAAGGTGGAACTAGAAATTACTGTTTCTTGATGATTGGTCCAAAGTCACGCAGTTGGCTTTCATGCCTAAAGCTGGACTAGAACTCATCGTCACCTGGTTTCTAAACCAGCACCTTAACCACTACATCAAACTTGCTCTCTAATAAATGTTGTGACGTTGTTCATTTTATTTCATTGTCACTTCTTGGGAATTTTTCTTCTCCCCCCCCCCCAATTTCTAATTTTTTTCTAATTTCTAATTTTCTAATTGTTTTCCAATCTTCCAATCTCCCATCCAATATTAATCAGGCCTGAAATTGCTTAGCTTCTACATCCAAACAGCCAGATTCTGCTCCTTGCTCATTCAACTAAAGAAAGAATTTACAAGTATCCAATCTCACCAATCAACTACAACCATTTCTATAGTCAGCTAAAGTTCTCTTAATGCAAAAGTTGAGTCAATAAATCTACAGCTACTTTCCCCAATCTTGTTCTCTCCCAATGAGGGGGTTCTCTCTTCATCAAATTCCCAATCAGCACAGTCCAGGGAATTCTGGGAACTGCAATTCCTATATACCTGGAAGACACATACTAGAGGAGGCTACTTTATGCTGTGACCATCATTCTGCCTGAAGATTATTTTCACAAAGAATTGGTAACCGTGTTCTCCATGTGTTCTGCTCCCCACTAAATTTCTTGTTAGAAACTGAAATTATTTAGTTACTCTAAGCCATTGTTTCTCAACCTTAGCAACTTTAAGATGTATGGACTTCAACTCTCCCTGCCAGCTATGTTGGCTCTGGAATTCTGGGAGTTGAAGTCCATACGTCTTAAAGTTGCTGAGGTTAAGAAATGTAACTCTAGGCCAGGGGTCTTCAAACTTGGCCCTTTTATGACTTGTGGACTTCAACTCCCAGAATTCCTCAGCCAGGCACGCCTGGCTGAGGAATTCTGGGAGTTGAAGTCCACAAGTCATAAAAGGGCCAAGTTTGAAGACCCCTGCTCTAAGCTGATCAGGAAAGGAATCAGAAAGGATGTTCCACAATTCATTTTCCACATCACGGACAAAAACAGCACAGGTCAACATGCTAAATGCTACAGGAAGAGAAAAGTCATGGGAAAGAACTGGAAAATGGGGTTATTATTATTTTTTTACCTACTTTTCAAGGCCAGCCTTTCAGATCGTCTTCAGCTTTCTGACATGGCAATTGTCAGAAAATAAAACCCACCACCGAGAACAGGTGTAGAAAAATAAAGACGGTGGCCAACGCAAGACGGAGAAACATAAATGTGCAAGAAAAGAAAAACAAATTAATATAAACCAACATAAGCCATGGAGAAATAAATCTAAATCCAGCATTTGAAAACAAAAAGGGACTTCCGAAAAGAGAACTTCCCAGTGAGTTTAAAAAAAAAAAAAAACACTCACACAATGAGAACAGAACATTTTGTTGAACATAACAAAAAAAATAAGCAAAATGGACAGAAATCTAGGTAGTCCTCGACTTACAACCACAATTGAGCCCAACATTTCTGTTGCTGAGCAAAACAGTTAAGTTTTGCCCCATTTTACAACCTTTTTTGCCACCGTTATTAAGCGAATCATGACAGTTGTTAAGTAAGACAATAGAAGTAAATCTGGCTTCCCCATGGACTTTGCTTGTCAGAGGGTTGTAGAAGGTCCCAGGGTCATGCAATATGAGTCATAAATATGAGTCAGTTCTAAGCGTCAGAATTTTGATCACGTGACCATGGAGATGCTACAGCGATCACAAGTGTGAAAAACAGTCATAAATCACTTTTTTTAGTGCCGTTGTAATTTAGAATGGTCACTAAACAAATGGTTGTAAGTCAAGGACTACTTGTAGAGGAATCATGGACCCAGAGGAAATGCTTACCTGTACATGGGAACGGTGACGGTTCGTTCGTAGTAATTCCAGGTAGAGTGCAAATCGGTTCGGGTGAGGTTAGTGGCGTAAAACCTCCATGCAGCCTGAGAGAATACAGGAAGGAGAGGCAGATGTGATTTCAAAAAAAAACTAAAACAAGCAAATAATGAAGTTAACTTGCTGCTGGTGCAGTGGTTAGAATGTGATATTGCAGGCTGACTCTGCCCACTGCCAACAGTTCAATCCTGACCGGCTCAAGGTTGACTGAGCCTTCCATCCTTCCAAGGTTGGTAAAATGAGGACCCAGATTGTTGGGGGCAATAGGCTGACTCTGTAAACCAGGATTCCCCAACCTGTGGGCCGTGGCCCAGTAGTAGGCCGTGGCCTGCTGGCCACCGGGCCGTAGGACAGGCTGGCCAGTCTGCGCCACATGTGTGTGCATACCCCCCCACTTGCGCTAGCGCCGTGGCCACGGGGCACAAAAATGGGACGCCACACCTCAGGGTGCAAAAACAGGCCGCCGCCACACCATAGGTTGTGAAAATGGGCGCCGCCACACAGCGGGGTGCAAAAATGGGCTGCTATGGCACTGCAAGGCACAAAAACGGCCACCGCCACATCATGGGGCGCAGAAACAAGGCACTGTGCCACACAAGAACAGGGCAGGGCTAGTAAGTATCACACGGGTACTAGCCCCGCCCCCTTTACTGCGTGCACATGCTCGCGGCCCCGTGCACACATGCAGGCACGCACGCATATAAAATGCTTCCCCCTCCCTTTTCCTCCGGTCCACCAACTGACAAAGGTCGGTGACCTCTGCTGTAAACCACTCAGAGAAAGTTGTAAAAAGCACTGTGAAGCAGTATATAAGTCTAAGAGCTATTGCCATTAAGAGCTGTGGTAGTGCAGTGGTTAGAATGCAGCACTGCAGACTGACTCTGCCAACTGCCCGCAGTTCGATCCTGGCCAGCTCAAGATTGACTGAGCCTTCCATCCTTCTGAGGTCAGTAAAAATGAGGACCCAGATTGTTGGGAGCTGACTCTGTGAATTGCTTAAAGAGGGCTGTAAAGCCCTGTGAAGCGGTATATAAGTCTAAATGCTGTTGCTATTGCTAACTTAGTTTCTGCAGGGGAGAAACCATATTGTCCTAATCTTTAACTTACAGGGAGTCCTCGTCTTACAACCACCACCGTGATCAGAATTTCTGTTGTTAAGCAAGGTGATTGTTAAGTGAAGCGTGCCCCATTTTACAACCTTTTTTGCCACAGTGCTTAAGCAAATAACTGCAGTTGAGGTCCACAAGTCTTAAAGTTGGCTGGCTAGGGAATTCTGGGAGTTGAAGTCCACAAGTCTTAAAGTTGCCAAGATTGGAGATCCTTGCTCTAGAACAGGGGTAGGCAACCTTGGCTGTTTTATGACTCGTGGACTTCAACTCCCAGAATTCCTGGGCCAGCCTGGCTCAGGTTGGAAACCTCTCCCTTTCCCCTCAGCATGGCTGGCTCAGGAATTCTGGAGGGTGAAGTCCACGAGTCATAAAAGAGCCAAGGTTGCCTACTCCTGCCCTAGAAGGTTTTGCAGCGTGAATCAATTCTCTTTCAGCACCTTTTTGATCCATTTCTCTCTCCTCAGAAATCCGACCTTCCCTGAGCCCCTCAGCCACCCACACACCCATTCTCTCTGCTTACCTGAATTAGGCCAGCTGCAGGATTCCTCCTTTTTTCAAAGTGCTTCTGACGATGCTGCTCTTGAACCTTCAAGGCAAAGCCGGAACCTAGAATTCCCTGAAAATTAAATTAACCAAATAACAGAGTTGGAAGGGACCTTGGGAGACCTCCTAGCCCAGCACCCTGCTCAAGAACCTATACATTTCAAACAAGTGGTTGTCCATTCTCTTCTAAAAAACCTCCAGTGAGGTTTTAAACCCACAACCCACAACTTCTGGAGGCAAGTCGTTCCACTAATTAATTGTTCTAACTGTCAGGAAATTTCTCCTTAGTTCTAGGTTTGGTTCTCTCCTTGATTAGTTTCCACCCGTTGCTTCTTGTCCTGCCTTCAGGCCCCTTGGAGAATAGATTAACCCCCCTCTTCTTCGTGGTAGCCACTTAGATAGTGGGACACTGCTATAATAATAATAATAATAATAATAATAATAATAATAATAATAATAATAATAATAATAATAATAATAACAACAACAACAACAACAACAACAAAACAGCAACAACAACAAAACAACAACAACAACAACAACAACAACAACAACAACAACAATAATAATAATAATAATAATAATAATAATAATAATAATAATAATAATAATAATAATAAAGTTGGAAGGGACCTTGGAGGTCATCTAGTCCAACCCCCTGCTCAGGAAGGAAATCCTACACCATTTTGGACAAATGGCTGTCCAGTCTCTTCTTTAAAACTTCCAGTGTTGGAGCATTCACAAGTTCTGGAGGCAGGTTGTTCCACTGGTTAATTGTTCTAACTGTCAGGAAGTTTCTCCTTAGTTCCAGGTTGCTTCTCTCCTTGATTGGTTTCTATCCGTTGCTTCTTGTCCTGCCTTCAGGTGCTTTGGAGAATAGCTTGACTCCCTCTTCTTTGGGGCAGCCCCTGAGATATTGGAACACTGCTATCATGTCCCCCCTCGTCCTTCTCTTCATTAAACTAGACATACCCAATTCCAGCAACTGCTCCTTGTATGTTTTAGCCTCCAGTCCCCTAATCATCTTTGTTGCTCTTCTCTGCACTCTTTCTAGAGTCTCAGCATCTTTTCTACATCGTGGTGACCAAAACTGGATGTCACCCCAATCCTTGTTTTCCTTAAAGTAGACATCCCCAATTCCTGCAACCGTCCTTCGTATGTTTTAGCCTCCAGTTCCCTAATCATCTTCGTTGCTCTTCTCTGCAATCTTTCTAGAGTCTCAATAACGTTTCTATATTTTTTATATTAAGTACAGTATTATTTCCCATTAGGTTTGTCAAGAATCAGGTTACGCAATACTGAGTCGTTCATTAAACGTGAGGACGCTCTTCTTCAGCAGCGTTGTGACTTCAAATGGACACTGAACGAATGGTTGTAAGTCAAGGACTACCTGCAGACGCATTGAACTTCGTCACCGAGTAAAACAGTTCCTTCTTCCGACAAAAAAAATGGCACGATCTAGGCTTGGAAACTATTCTGAGATCAGAGGCAATCCAGATGCTTTCCATCCGAAGTGAGTCACAGCCCTGGATATGATCTGGCTTTCTTTTCAAGGAAAGGAAAGGACTTTACTTACTGCGGGGAGAGCGAAAAAGGAAACCCCAATCAAAGTGAAGGTTGCTGCCAGGAGACGCCCATTCCAGGTTTGTGGATACTTGTCCCCATAGCCAATGGTGGTCAGGGTAATCTGGACGAAAACAGAGATGGTTGCATGAAATCTGCAAAGTCAAGATTGGCGGAGGAACACAATCAAATGAATCTGCTGTACATAAGTCAGCCTAGGCCAGTGGTGGCGAACTTAGGGCACGGGTGCCAGAGGCAGCACTCAGAGCCCTCTCTGTGGGCACACGTGCCGTTGTCCCAGCCTCGCCTCCCCCCACAATCCCCTCTTCTCCAGCAGCCCCCCTAAAGGAGAGTCGCCCCTGAGTGTGGCCCACGCGGAGCAGCGCAGCCAAGGACATGGCAGCCAGGCGGTGTAGACAAGACCCTGCCTTCATGCCCCATCGTGCACAGTTGATGCTGCAGGGCGCGGGCAGAGGGCGTGGCTGCCATAGTGCTGCTGGGCTGCCTGGGCGATCTGTGGCGGGCCCCGGAGGCGGGGCAGGAGATGGGGAGGTGGGGCAGGGGGCGGGGCAGGGGTGGAGCAGGGGCGGGGCCAGTTTTGGGGTACTCAGTCTCTAAAAAGTTCTCCATCACTGGCCTAGGCATTAAAAAAAAGCATTTGAGATTGTATAAAGGTGAGCAATAGATAAGATGCTGAAGCTGAGGTTCAAATACTTTGGCCACCTAATGAGAAGAGAGGATTCCTTAGAGCAGGGGTCCCCAACCCCCAGTCCTTGGACCAGTACTGGGCTGTGGCATGCCAGCAACTGGGCCACACAAACAAGCGAAGCCCCATCCACGGGATGGAGGCAGCACACAAAACCATGCACCCTCCGGTCCACGGAAAAACCTCTCTCCATGGAACTGGTCCAGAGTTCTTGCACCCAGAGTTGATAAAGATTTGGCAGGCTGGAGAGCTAAAGAGAAAGCCCGTGCTTCAAGCTAATTGGGAAATGTGATTTATGACTGTTAATTGGAGGAGGGAATTGTGCTTTGTCACTTTGTGCCCAGGAGAGGAGAATTCAGTTTTTGGCTTCCACTATGTAGTGCCGATACTTTGTTTCTCGAATAAAAGACTCTTTAAGGTAAACAATGCCTCGAAGTTCTTTTGAAGAGTTTCATCTGTCTGGAAGCATGACAGCTACGTTGATAGCCAGAAATTCATGGCCTGAAACTGGCAAGCAAAAGATACTTACCAGGCCCCACCAAAGGGCATCTGCATAGGTATCAAAATGGTCATTTTCTCCTTTCTCAGCCAAGTACACCAGGAAGGAGGCTAAAATTAGGCACAGGAATCCAATATACCAAGCGGTGATCAACTCCTGCAAACAGCGAAAGAGAAAAATGAAGGGTAGATAGCTTTGGGATGTATCTCCACCCACATCCGCTTCGTCAGTCGTCCCCGACTTCAAGGGAGGAAAAAATATTACTGGGATACTGGCGCCATGAGACAAAAGGGAGGGGCACACATACGGCAGAGGCAATTTGGTTTAGAGATGAAGTTGCTGGTCTAGAAACCAGGAGATGGTGAGTTCTAATTCTGCCTTAGGCATGAAAACCAACTGGGTGACTTTAGGCCAATCACCAGGAGATTGTGAGTTCTAGTCTTGCCTTAGGCCTGAAAACCAGCTGGGTGACTTTGGACCAATCACCAGGAAACTGTGAGTTCTAGTCTTGCCTTAGGCCTGAAAACCAGCTGGGTGACTTTAGGCCAATCACCAGGAGATTGTGAGTTCTAGTCACGCCTTAAGCATGAAAACCAGCTGGGTGACTTTGGGCCAATCACCAGAAGACTGGGAGTTCTAGTTCTACCTTAAGTATGGAAGCTGACTGGGTGACATTGGGCCAATCACCAGGAGACTGGGAGTTCTAGTTCTACCTTAAGTATGGAAGCTGACTGGGTGACATTGGGCCAATCACCAGGAGACTGGGAGTTCTAGTCCTGCCTTAGGCATGAAAGCCGGCTAGGTGACTTTAGGCCAATCACCAGAAGATTGTGCGTTCTAGTCCTGCCTTAGGCATGAAAACCAGCTGGGTGACTTTGGGCCAATCACCAGGAGACAGTGTTTTCTAGTGAGTTCTAGTTCTGCCTTCAGCATGAAAGCCAGCTGGGTGACTTTGGGCCAATCCATCTTTCTCAGCCCAACCCATCCCCCCCCCCCGGGTTGTTGTTGTGGAGAAAATAAGAGAAGGAAGAAATATTGGATATATTCGCCTCCCCGAGTTCCTTATGAAGTCATAAAGGTGGGATTAAAAATAAAATAAATACAAATGATGTGGATTTGGAGCAGATTTCAGAGGCATCAGGAGAGATTCAAATACGCAAGTAAAAGTTTCAGCCACTGCACCAGGAGGTCTAAATCATAATTGCTACCTTCACCCAACACAACCAGAATGACACAAAGCACAGAACGAGGAGACACAGATCACGGACAAATAACCTCAAAATAGGCTTAGCCCATAAGCAGCTCTCCAGCAATAGCTGACAATCAGAGGATCTAAAGATAGATGCCGTGATTAAAGGAGGGTTAATGGCAATTCAGGCATCAATTGAGTGACCAAGGGATTATAGGCACCGGATGCCAGTTGTGATAATAAATAGAGAGAGAAAAAAGCTTAATTGAGGAGAAAATGATCTCTGGGCATGTGGTGCTTCCATGCTTCAGTAAGCAGGAAGAACAAAGGCATCCATTGTGCATCCAGGTTTCTCCCTCCAATTTCTGTTTGCCATGCCCCAAACAGCTTTTTTTTTTCACCTCAAATGTGCACAATAACTCTTGAGAAGAGGTAAGGTAAGGTAAGGTAAGGTAAGGTAAGAGAGGAGAGGAGAGGAGAAGGGAAGAGGGAAGGGAAGGGAAGGGAAGGGAAGAAGAGAAGAGAAGAGAAGAGAAGAGAAGAGAAGAGAAGAGAAGAGAAGAGAAGAGAAGAAGAGAGGAGAGGAGAG